CTACTTTACCAAATTCATTGATTAGCTCTAGTAGTTTTCTGGTAGCATCTTTAGGATTCTCGATGTATAGTATCATGTCATCTGCAAACAGTGACAGCTTTACTTCTTCTTTTCCAATTTGGATTCTTTTTCTTCTCCGATTGCTGTGGTTAAAACTTCCAAAACTATGCTTAATAAGAGTGGTGAGAGTGGACAACCTTGTCTTGTTCCTGATCTTAGTGGAAATGGTTTCAGTTTTTCACCATTGAGAAAGATGTTGGCTGTGGGTTTGTCATATATGGCCTTTATTATGTTGAGGTAATTCTCTCTATGCCTACTTTCTGGAGGGTTTTTGTCATAAATGGGTGTTAAATTTTGTCAAAAGCTTTTTCTGCATCTATTGAGATGATCATATGGTTTTTATCCTTCGGTTTGTTAATATGGTGTATCCACTGATTGATTTGCGTATATTGAAGAATCCTTGCATTCCTGGGATAAACCCCACTTGATCGTGTTGTATGGTCCTTTTAATGTGCTGTTGGATTCTGTTTGCTAGTATTTTGTTGAGGATTTTTGCATCTGTGTTCATCAGTGATATTGGCCTGTAGTTTTCTTTCTTTGTGACATCTTTGTCTGGTTTTGATATCAGGGTGATGGTGGCCTCGTGGAATGAGTTTGGGAGTGTTCCTCCCTCTGCTATATGTTGGAAGAGTTTGAGTAGGATAGGTGTTAGCTCTACTCTAAATGTTTGATAGAATTCACCCGTGAAGCCATGTTGTCCTGGCCTTTTGTTTGTTGGAAGATTTTTAATCACAGTTTCAATTTCAATGCTTGTGATTTGTCTGTTTATATTTTCTATTTCTTCCTGGTTTGGTCTTGGAAGTTTGTGCTTTTCTAAGAATTTGTCCATTTCTTCCAGGTTGTCCATTTTATTGGCATTTAAAGCTTGTGTTTCCTTATTTATTTTCAGTCTGGATGATCTGTCCATTGGTGAAAGTGGGGTGTTAAAGTCCCCTGCTATGAATGTGTTACTGTTGATTTCCCCTTTTATGGCTGTTAGTATTTGCCTTATGTATTGAGGTGCTCCTATGTTGGGTGCATAAATATTTACACTTGTTATATCTTCTTCTTGGATTGATCCCTTGTTCATTATGTAGTGTCCTTCTTTGTCTCTTCTAATAGTCTTTATTTTAAAGTCTATTTTGTTTGATATGAGAATTGCTGCTCCAGCTTTCTTTCGATTTCCATTTGCATGGCGTATCTTTTTCCATCCCCTTACTTTCAGTCTATATGTGTTCCTAGGTCTGAAGTGGGTCTCTTTTAGACAGCCTATATATGGGTCTTATTTTTTGTATCCATTCAACCAGTCTGTGTCTTTTGGTTGGAGCACTTAATCCATTTACATTTAAGGTAATTATCAATATGTATGTTTCTGTTGCCATTTTCTTAATTGTTTGGGGTTTGTTATTGTAGGTCTTTTCCTTCTCTTGTGTTTCTTGCCTAGAGAAGTTCCTTTAGTGTTTGTTGTAAAACTGGTTTGGTGGTGCTGAATTCTCTTAGCTTTTGCTTGTCTGTAAAGGTTTTAATTTCTCTGTCGAATCTGAATGAGATCCTTGCTGGGTAGAGTAATCTTGGTTGTAGGTTTTTCCCTTTCATCACTTTAAATACATCCTGCCACCCCCTTGTGGCTTGCAGAGTTTCTGCTGAATGATCAGCTGTTAACCTTATGGGGATTCCCTTTTATGTTATTTGTTGTTTTTCCCTTGCTGCTTTTAATATTTTTTGTTTGTATTTAATTTTTGATAGCATGATTAATATGTGTCTTGGTGTGCTTCTCCTTGGATTTATCCTGTATGGGACTCTCTGCATTTCCTGGATTTGATTGACTATTTCCTTTCCCATATTAAGGAAGTTTTCAACTATAATCGCTTCACATATTTTCTCAGTCTCTTTCTCTTCTTCTTCTGGAACCCGTATAATCCGAATGTTGGTGTGTTTAATGTTGTCCCAGAGGTCTCTGAGACCGTCTTCAATTCTTTTCATTCTTTATTCTGCTCTGTGGTAGTTATTTCCACTATTTTATCTTCCAGGTCACTTATCCGTTCTTCTGCCTCAGTTATTCTGCTATTGATTCCTTCTAGAGAATTTTTAATTTCATTTATTGTGTTGTTCATCATTGTTTGCTCTTTTGTTCTTCTAGGTCCTTGTTAAATGTTTCTTGTATTTTTTCCATTGTATTTCCAGGATTTTGGATCATCTTTACTATCATTACTCTGAATTCTTTTTCAGGTAGACTGCTTATTTCCTCTTTGTTTGGTCTGGTGGGTGTTTACCTTGCTCCTTCATCTGCTGTGTGTTTCTCTGTCTTCTCATTTTGCTTCAATTACTGTGCTTGGGGCCTCCTTTTCGCAGGCTGCAAGCTCATAGTTCCCGTTGTTTTTGGTGTCTGCCCCCAGTGGCTAAGTTTGGTTCACTGGGTTTTGTAGGTTTCCTGGTGGAGGGGACTGGTGCCTGTGTTTTGGTGGATGAGGCTGGATCTTGTCTTTCTGGTGGGCAGGACCACGTCTGGTGGTGTGTTTTGGGGTGTCTGTGACCTTATTATGATTTTAGGCAGCCTCTCTGGTAATGTGTGGGGTTGTGTCCTATCTGGCCACTTGTTTGGCATAGGGTGTCCAGCACTGTAGCTAGCTGGTTATTGAGTAGAGCTGGGTCTTAGTGTTGAGATGGAGATCTCTGGTAGAGCTTTTGTTGTTTCATATTGCATGGAGCCAGGAGGTCTCTGGTGGACCAATGTCCTGAACTCAGCTCTCCCATCTCAGAGGCACAGGCCTGACAGCTGGTCAGAGCACCAAGACCCTGTTAGCCACGTGGCTCAGAAGAAAAGGGAGAAAAAAAGAAAGAAAGAAAATAATACAGTTATTAAAATAAAAAATATTAAAAGTAAATTAAAAAGTAATAAAAAAAATGGACAGACAGAACCCTAGGACAAATGATAAAAGCAAAGCTATACAGACAGAATCACACAAAGAAGCATACATATACACACTCACAAAAAGAAAAAGGAAAAAATATATATTTTTTTTTAAAAAAAGGAAGAGAGCAACCAAATCAATAAACAAATCTACCAATGATAATAAACTCTAAATACTAAACTAAGATAAACATAAAACCAGAAACAAATTAGATGCCGAAAGCAAAACCCAAGTGTACAGTTGCTCCCAAAGTCCACCACCTCAATTTGGGATGATTCGTTGTCTATTCAGGTATTCCACAGATGCAGGGTACATCAAGTTGATTGTGGAGATTTAATCCACTGCTCGTGAGGCTGCTCAGAGAGATTTCCCTTTCTCTTCTTTGTTCACACAGCTCCTGCGGTTCGGCTTTGGATTTGGCCCCACCTCTGCATGTAGGCCACCTGGGGGCATCTGTTCGCCCCTCACACAGGACAGGGTTAAAGTAGCAGCTGATTCGGGGGCCCTGGCTCACTGAGGCCGGGGGGAGGGAGGGGTATGGAATGCGGGGCGAGTCTGTGGCGGCAGAGGCCGGCATGACATTGCAACAGCGTGAGGCGCGCCGTGTGTTCTCCGGGGGACGTTGTCCCTGGATCCCGGGACCCTGGCAGTGGCAGGCTGCACAGGCTCCCGGGAGGGGAGGTGTGGATAGTGACCTGTGCTTGCACACAGGCTTCTTTGTGGCTGCAGGAGGAGCCTTAGCGTCTCGGGCCCATCTCTGGTGTCCACACTGATAGCCATGGCTCATGCCCGTCTCTGGAACTCGCTTAGGTGGTGCTCTGAATCCCCTCTCCTTGCGCACCCCGAAACAACGGTCTGTTGCCTCTTAGGCAGGTCCAGACTTTTTCCCAGACACCCTCCCAGCTAGCTGTGGCGCACTAGCCCTCTTCAGGCTGTGTTCATGCAGCCAACCCCAGTCCTCTCTCTGGCATCTGACCTCCGAAGCCGAAGCCTCAGCTCTCAGCCCCCACCCGCCCCGGCAGGTGAGCAGACAAGCCTCTCGGGCTGGTGAGTGCTCATTGGCACCGATCCTCTGTGCAGGAATCTCTCTGCTTTGCCCTCTGCCCCCCTGTTGCTGCGCTGTCCTCCATGGCTCTGAAGCTTCCCCCCCACCCCCACCCTCCATCTCCGCCAGTGAAGGGGCTTCGTAGTGTGTGGAAACTTTTCCTCCTTCACAGCTCCCTCCCAGAGGTGCAGGTCCTGTCCCTATTCTTTTGTCTCCGTTTTTTCTTTTGCCCTACCCATGTATGTGGGGAGTTTCTTGCTTTTTGGCAAGTGTGAGGTCTTCTGCCAGCATTCAGTAGGTGTTCTGTAGTTTTTCCACATGTAGATGTATTTCTGATGTATTTGTGGGGAGGAAAGTGATCTCCATGGCTTACTCCTTCACCATCTTGAAGGTCTCTTTATAATTTCAAACTTCTTAAATTTGCTAAGATTTGTTTTGTGTCCTATCATATGCTCTACCTTGGAGGATGTTACATGTACAATTGAGAAGTGTGTGTATTTTGCTACCGTTGGATGGAATGCTCTATATATGTCTGTTACGTTCACTTGGTCTAAAGTGTGGTTCAAATCTAACGTTTTCTTGTTAATTTTCTGTCTGATCTATCCATTGCTGACAGTGCAGTACAGAAGTCCCCTACTATTGTGGGGTTTTTTTTGGGTTTTTGTGTTTGTTTTCTGCCTGCACCGCACAGCTTGTGGGATCTTATTTCCCTGGCCAGGGATGGAACCCATACCGCCTGCAGTGGAGTGTGGAGGTCTAACCATGGGACTGCCAGGGAATTCCCTCCCCTACTATTGTTATATTGTTTTCTATTTCTCCCTTCTTTTTCATTCAGCCAGCCAATATGTGACTTTTGGTTGATAAATTGAATCCATTTATATTTAGAATGATTTTGATATGTAAGGACTAACTACTGCCATCTTATTGTTTTTCTTCTGGTTGGTTCACATCTCGTTTCTTTTCCCCTCTGTTTCTGCCTACATTTATACATTGGTGGTTTCCCATGGTGGTATGCTCTGCCTTCCTGTTTTTCTGCGTTTCATGAATCTACTCTACATTTTTGCTTTTGGTTACCATGAGGGGTTATATAAAACATCTCCTTGATAAATTGCTATCAGCATAAAATGTAGTTTTATCTTTATTCACCTGTAAAATCTCCATCCTTTTACTCCTCTCCATTTATATAATTGACATCAAAATTTGCCTCTTTATGTTGTATATTTGTTAACAAATTATAATAACTAGTTGTTAATACTTTTTTAACCTTTATACTATATACTTAAGATACCATTCTAATATAGAAAACAGTTTTCAGATTCTGTCTATATTTTTACCTTTATCAGATTGTTGTGTACTTTCATATGTTTTCATGTTATTAATTAGCATCTTTTTATTTCAACTCAAGGAACTCCTTTCGGAATTTCCTGCATGGCAAATCTAATGTTGCTGAACTCCCTTAGCTTTTGTTTAGGAAAACCTTTATTTCTCCATATATCAAGGATAATTTGGCCAGATAAAGTATTCCTGGGTGAAAATGTTCATTTTCAGCACTTTGAATATGTCATTTCACTCCCCCCTGGTATGTAGAATTTCTGCTGAGAAATCCACTGATAGCCTAATAGGGGTTCCTTTGTAGGTTACATTTTATTTCCTGGCTGCCTGGTGAGCTGGGGTAGGGCAGGTTTGACAACTCCTTTGGATCTGCAGTCCTTTCTGGGGTCTTATTTATTTTTGGATGCACAGGTAGGCTAGAAACCTCCAGGATCCATTGGTGTAATGTGTGGAGGCACTTTTGTTTCATTATGGACATTTAATTTTTTGCTTAAAAAAGGAGAGGGAAAGTGATTTATGCCACATGATGCTGACATTAGTCCTTTGGAATGCCAATTTCTTTGACCAATCATTCTCGGGCAGATAGCCCAGGGTAGGGGTTCTGTGAAATAATGCTGCCGAGTGCTCTTTGGTTAATCTTCAAAACAATCTTCCTTCATCAGGATCTTCTCGGGAGTGAGCCTGTTTTAAAGAAAAGGGTAAGATGATTAGAAAGACTTCAGTTGATATCTATTCAAATTTGTGGTGCGAGCCCATGCCTTCTATTTATGCCATGTGGAAACCTTCAAACTCTAATGGAATCTATTTTTACTGTATGGATACACCTAATGTCATGCTGAATTGCACACAGGGTGTGATATATGTATATTAGAAAGGGTAACTATCAGTGAACTAGGTATTGATACCAACCACTAACAGTCCATAATGTAACATGGAAAGAAAAAGGGAAGCAAAAAGAAAAGCCATCAGTGAAAGGAAAATGTAACAAGTTAAAATTTTTAAGAAAATATAAAATATGGTTTATGAAATTAAACTTGTATTTTTATAAACTTTAAAATGTTGATCATCATGTCCTGTTCTCTGTATGTAGAATACCAACTTTTAAAAAATTATTTGTTTATTCTTGGCTGCATTGGGTCTGGGTTGTTGGGTCTTCGTTGCTGTGCATGGGCTTTCTCTAATTGTGGCGAGTGGGGTCTACTCTTCGTTGTGGTACGTGGGCTTCTCATTGCAGTGGCTTCTCTTGTTGCAGAGCTCGGGCTCTAGGCACGTGAGCTTCAGTAGTTGTGGCACACGGGCTCCAGAAAATTAGAAAAATAACATGGTGTGTATACTTTTGCCCCAGAGAACTGAGAGACTCAAGTTACATGTACTAAGATGAATACAAGGAAACATATCCAAAATCAGTTGGGGATAGGACTAATTACACCAGGGACTAAATGTATTCCATTAGATTACAGTAATGCTAGGGGTGGGTGTGGGTGTGTTTGTGTGTGTTTAAGTACCAGAATTAGCCCCTGCTTTAACTAAAGGAAACATTAGTTTAAATAAAAGTAATGTCCTCTGGGAGGGGGAAGGGTAAGCTGGGACGAAGTCAGAGAGTGGCATTGACATATATATTCTACCAAATGTAAAACAGATAGCTAGTGGGAAGCAGCTGCATAGCACAGGGAGATCAGCTTGGTGCTTTGTGACCACCTAGAGGGGTGGGATAGGGAGGGTAGGAGAGGGATGCAAGAAGGAGGGGATATGGGGATATACGTATAGTATAGCTGATTCACTTTGTTATACAGCAGAAAGTAACACAACATTGTAAAGCAATTATACTCCAATAAAGATGTTAAAAAAATGTTTTTTTAAAGTAATGTCCTCTGGAACCAGTACGTCACTCTCCAGACTTAGTTTTCAGCTGGGGCTTGTTTAAATGATGCTTTACAGCACAGCAAGTCCTGTGGGTGGGAGGCCTCTAAGCAGGTTGTAATAAACGTTTTTAATGGAAAATTTGAGGCCTCTCTATTAAGAAAAGAGAGATGTTTGTGTAAGTTGTGTGTTGAGGAGCTGCATGATGGAAAATCTTCTCGTTGTTTACTTTTTGCCAACATTTTGGGTTCTTTTAAAGCACTTTATTTAGGTATGTTTGACATGTAATTATATATTCAATGTATTCAATGAAATAATATTGGAGATAAGTATACATCCATGAAACTATCACCACCATCAGGTATATAAACATCCATCACCTCCCAAACTCTCCTTCCCCACACTTTTTTTTTTTTAGGGTAAGAACACTTAACATAAGATCTACTTCTTAGCGAGTTTGAAGTGTACAGTACAGTACTGTTAGCTTAAACGCTCTGTTGTTTGATAGATCTCCAGAACTTATATTATATATGTGAAACTTTGCACCTTTTTTTTTTTTCTTTTGCGGTACGCGAGCCTCCCACTGCCGTGGCCCCTCCCATTGCGGAGCACAGGCTCCGGACGCGCAGGCTCAGCGGCCATGGCTCACGGGCCCAGCCACTCCGCGGCACGTGGGACCCTCCCGGACCGGGGCACAAACCCGCGTCCCCTGCATCGGCAGGCGGACTCCCAACCACTGCGCCACCAGGGAAGCCCGAAACTTTGTACCTTTTAACCATCACCTCACCTCCTTATTTCTCACTATCCCTATTCCCTGGCAACTACCATTCGACTCTGTTTCTTTCGTGTTTGACTATTTTAGATTCCATTTATAATTAAGATCATGCAGCATCTGTCTTTCTGTATCTGGCTTATTTTCACCTAGCATCATGCCCTCCAGTTCCATCCAAGTTGTTGCAAATGGCAGGATTCTCCTGTTTTTTTTAGGCTTAATAATCCATTTTATGTATATACTACATTTCTTTATCTAATTATCAATGAGAATTTAAGTAGTTTCTGTCTTGGCTATTGTGAATAATGATGCAATGAACATGGGAGTACAGATATCTCTTCAAGATCCTGAATTCAATTCTTTTAAATACCCAGAAGTGATGTTGATAGGTCATGTAACAGTTTTTATTAATGTTTTGAAGAAACTGTTTTTTCCTAAGGGTTTTACTAATTTACATTTCCACAAACAGTATACAAAGGTTGCCTGTCCACCACCATCATTATCTTTGCTTTTTGATAATAGCCATTCTAACAGGTGTGAGTTGATCTCCTGTTAGTGTGTGTGTGTGTTCCTGTTGATTAGTGATGTTGAGTACCTTTTCACATATCTGCTGTCCATTTGTATGTCCCCTCTGAGAAATACCTACTGAGGTCTTTTGCCCATTTTTAAACTGGGTTAAATGTTTTCTTTCGTTTAGCTGTTGAGTTGTATGAGTTCATTACGTATTTTGGATATTAACCCCTTATCAGATACATTGTTTGCAAACATTTTCTCCCATTCCATAGATTGCCTTTTCCTTTTATTTATTTATTTATTTTTTGCGGTACGCAGGTCTCTCACTGTTGTGGCCTCTCCCATTGCGGAGCGCAGGCTCAGCGGCCATGGCTCACGGGCCCAGCCGCTCCGCGGCATGTGGGATCTTCCCTGACCGGGGCACGAACCCGTCTCCCCTGCATCGGCAGGCGGACTCTCAACCACTGCGCCACCAGGGAAGCCTTTCTTTCCCTTCTTTGATTATTTCTTTTGCTGTGCAGAATATTTCTAGTTTAATGTAGTCCCACTTTATTTTTGCTTTCTTTGCCTGAGAGTTTAGCAACATAACCAAACAATCATAGCCGAAACCAACGTCAAGGAGATTTTTCTGTATGTTTTTCCTAGGAGTTTTATGGTTCAGGTCTTATGTTTTAAGCCTTTAATCCATTTCAGATGATTTTGTGAATGGTGTAAGTTGTGTCCACTTTCATTCTTTTGTATGTGGATATCCAGTCTTTCCAACACCGTTTATTGAAGAGACTATCCTGTCCCCATTGTGTATTCTCAGCACCCTTGTGAAAGATTAGTTGACCATATATGTAAGGGTTTATTTCTAGGCTCTCTATTCTGTTCCAATGGTCTATGTGACTATTTTTATGACAGTAGCACACTTTTAAAAAATTTCTATAGCTTTGTTACACACCTGAAACTAACACAACATTGTAAATCAATTATACTTCAATTTTTTTAAAAAATAGGTTAAAAAAATTACTATAGCTTTGCAATATAATTTGAAATCAGGAAGTGTGACGCCCCTGACTTTGGTTCTTTCTCAAGTTTGCTTTGGCTATTTGGAGTGTTTTACAGTTTCATATAAAGATTTAGGATTTTTCTATGGATGTGAAAAATGCCATTGTAATATTGAAAGGGATTGCTTTGATCTGTAAATCACTTTTGGATAGCAGGGACGTTTTAACAATATTAATTCTGTCAATCCAAGAACTCAGGATAACTTTTCATTTACTTGTATCCTCCTAAAACATTGTATAGTTTCCAGTTTACAGATCTTTCACCTCCTTGGTTAAATTTATTCCTATGTAGTTGATTCTATTTAAAGTTTTCGTAACTGAGAAAGATTTCTTAAATTATTTTTTATAATGTACATTTTAGTGTACAGAAACACAACTTATTTCTGTATATTGATTTTCTATTCTGCAACTTTACCAAATTGATTCATTAGATCTGTTTTTGGTGGAGTCTTGGGTTTTTTCTTCATAAAAGATCATGTCATCTGCAAACAGACAGTTTTAATTCTTCTGTTCTGATTTGAACGCCTTTTATTCCTTTTGTCTTGCCTAACTTATCTAGCTAGGACTTCCAGTACCATATTGAACAGAAGTGGCTAGAGTGAGCACCTTATCTTGTTCATGATCTTAGAGGAAAAGCTTTCAGCTTTTCGCTGTCAAGTATAATGTTAGCTGTAGGCTTGTTATACAAAACCTTTATTATGTTGAGGTACACTCCTTATATGGCTAATTTCTTCAGAGTTTGTATCATTAAAGGATCTTGCATTTTGTCAAATGCTTCATCTGCATCTATTGTTATAATATATTCTTCATTCTGTTAACATTTACTTAAAAATGTCAATCCATCCTTGCGTTCCAGGCATGAATCCCACTTGATCATGGTATACGATCCTTTTAATGTGCTGCTGAATTCGGTTTGCTAGTATTTGGGAGATTTTTGTGTCTATGTTCATTAGGGCCTATAATTTTCCTTTCTTGTCATTATACGGCTTTGGTATCAGGGTAATGCAGGCCTCTTAACGTGATTGTGGAAGAGTTCCTCCTCAATTTTTGAAGACTTTGAAAAGGATTGGTATTAATTCTTTAAATGTTTGGTAGAACTCACCACTCTAGCCATCTGGTCCTGGGATTTTTCTTTGTTGGGAGGTTTTTGACTCATGATTCAACCTCCTTATTCTTCATTGGTCTGTTCAGACTTATTTTTCATGACTCAGTATTAGGTTTCCTATTTCTTCATTGTCCATTTCAATAAATTATTTCAGTTTGTTGGAATATATTTTTTATTGTAGTCCCTTATGACCCTCTGTATTTCTGTGGTATCAGTTTTATTTTCTCCTTTTGTTTATAATTTTGAGTATTCTCTTTTTTAGTTAGTCCAGCTAAATGTTATTTTTGTCTATCTTTTTAAAAAGCCAACTTTAGATTTTGTTGACCTTTTCTATTTTTCTAGTCTTTATTTCATTTATTTCTCCTCTATTATTTCCTACCTT